CACAATTAAAACTGTTGTATTTTCTAATTAATTGTAGCAGATACATAATAAAATCATCATAATCATAAGAGCTAAATAAGCTACTGATCAGATAAATCTATATGAAAAGTCATTTCAAACACAGGAATATGATACTTATATGTTATGGTATAACCAACAAACATACCTACTGTTATTTTTCCTTGGATTTTCACAGCCAGAGTCTAATGTATCACCTCAGCTTTCAAGTTAACTGCATCGAGTTTTGAAGGCATTCTGAACATTTCAGCAACCAGTGCAGTTGCCATCTTCAGGGTGAATGTCTGTGGAAGGAAAAGGGACTCATTATATTGGTCTGGAATTGGCAGTTTGGTGGAAGATGTGTTATGTGACAAGGAAAGTACAGGAGAGGGGAAGGCCCCATTGTTTAGAAGGAAGGTGGAGAGAAAGAAGTGGAAGAGGAAAGAGTTGAGACCATGCTTCGATCTGTCTGAAACCATCTACAGAGCTGATTCATAAATGCCTGGCTGCAAAGGCCTTTCTTAGGCATGTTCACAACTAAAATTTGCAAAAATTGTGACTTATAGCTTTCCCATGTCTTTCTGTCTGAGAACTACTGAATGAATTTTCATTAAATGTGATATTGTGGAGTTATACTGAAGTTCTTCACATATTTTCAATTTTGGTTATAATCAGGCAACAACAAGCAATTTACAAGAAAACCTACATGCATTTCTGTGTGTAGAAAATAATGAGTGAGGATTGCCCAGCCAGCTGGCCACACAACTACATTTGGAGATACTTAGAGGAAATCATCACCCAGCCAGACAGATGACCCACGACTACTATGACATCACTAGCATCATTTGCAAAAGTCAATGGTCAAATTCTGGTGAACACACCATAACTGTTTGCTATGTGTACATTTCCTAACTTGTTACATTTCACTTCATTCTTAATTATTTCAACATAAATTTAATTATCAATAGAACTGTTGCCACAATCTTCACCACTATTTTTACTAAGATAACAGCTGGAGTATAATTCACACAAAATATCTATTTGTGGTCAAAGAGACTGTGAACATACTTTCTTTCGTCCATAATGGAATCTGACAGGAATTTACAAGCTTGTTAGAAAGGGAGTTCAAAAACAATGTGAAAGCATGACAAAATTACTGAAATAATCATTACTATATAGACGATACATTCAAACAACTCTGAAGTACTCAGAAATGATGGCATACATCATGAAAAGTGCTCTAGCACAAGACATGGGAATTCTCACAGCCTGTACAATGTGTTGTTAGCACAAGTTTGCCAGACCACCGAGCAAGAGTTGTGAGTAGGAACAACTGCCATGACACCAGGTACAGGTACAACATTATAACTCTTTAAGCACTTGTTATTTCAATGTTTCATTTATGTCCCATTCCATTGTTGTACAGCAGATACAGTGATAAAATGTGATAAAACCTGACATACAGAAACAGGTGTATTTTGACCTGGAATAAAATAGTAGTACTGTCCAATTTGGGATCATCACACAGCCAAGAACAACATATTAACTACTGGTTTAATGATCATGTGCAAAGGAATCTGTTATGGTGATACACTACAGTGATAATGGAAATCATGTAATGATGTTTCAGATTTCAGCAGAACAGTAAACTCATGTAAAAATGCAAGGATAAATCTCCTCTGAGGAGAGGAGTTCTGTGCTTTATCCACTTTACCTATACTGAATTAAGGGTGTTTGGACCCTAGGAACTGGATATTCCAATGAAGACAAAAATCCATAAATCAAACCCTGGATAATCAGTCCATTGCCAGCCACAGTATAATACAGACATGGCTTAGATAAAGAAGAACAAAAGTTATAGATTAATGGTCTGGAGGTAAGGCATTGGCTTCTCATGACACAACTTCTAGGTTTGATGCTATTTTTCCATGCCTTCTCCTTCTTTCTCATATTTGACTAGGCTACAAAGCTGTGAATGCTGGAAACCAGAACTCCATGTTATGCTGAGGGCTCCACATGCTGATTATCACCTACAATGTCATCCTAATTGTGGAGTAAATGGAACTTACCCTAAATGTGCTACTAAATGTTGATGTTAAAGCAATTCTGCTTTGTATTCAGGAGGTCCTGGGTTCAAATCTCTGCCAGAAGGATGGGTATCCTGACAGGTTTTTCATGGTTTTTCACACTCTCTCCAAGCAAGTGCCAAGACAGTACCTTAAAATAGACCATAACCAATTTCTTCCATATCTTTTACAGTTCATCATACTAACATTTTATGATTTTTAATTTAGACTGATGGAAATATTGTCATTACAAAACCAAGAATCATTCTAAAGGTGTTCACAACACAGACATGGGTTAATTTCAACAGGGGCCAATGAGGTGAGAGAGATCACACAAATTAGGGGGAAAAAAGATTTTACAACATATCAATATAGAAACAGCAACAACTTTATACGGCATGACTTAGGAATTATGTACTGTGAATGCTGATGTACTCATATTATACAAGGAAGACAAGTTATATATAAGAAGTCAGGCAGTAAACCAACCATACATATTAAATTCAGAGTCTTTGATGATGCACTGAATGTCATAAGGACCACAGTGTAACCAAAGTATTGGTTTATATTAACAATTTCATGTCAATTTCTATATGAGACATTAATATGACAAAAGCTGTAATACATGTGGAAAGAGAACCTAGACTTTATGTCATTTGCAAGGCTGTGTTGGCATGCACACATGCCAAGAAACTGTATAAAATTATCTGTTTACAAACTTCTACAGTTTACATCCTACAATTTTGGTAATATACAAATGGAAAATAAACAGTAACTACAGAAGTTCTTATGCACATTAAATTCATATTCACATGTTTAATATTGCAGAAATTCTTAGTTTTTTAATCTTAACAATAGCTGGAAATCTGTGACACTCATCTTCCATACATGTCTGATCAAAATTACTGAAAAGAAAGATTTCAAATCCAAGTCTTATATGAATCAAAGCAAATCTAATAATATACGGTTCCAAACTTTAGTGTTCATGGGGTGAGAAACAGATAACCTTCCTTCATCCTCAACTCTTACTTGTGCACAGCTATCAGGAAAATATTGCAACTTCAACTTGAAAAATTTTCTTCATTTGAAGTACTGTCCCTGCGTAAAGACGCTCGTTTCTGTATACGAATGCACCTTGGACAATGATGATTCTTTTTAGTCCAACAATTTCGATGAAACACAGCACAGCACTTCTGACAAATGGCTGTAGCCGAGTCAAAAGGGAAAATAACTTCATCATCATCACATAATTCACACACAAAGCCTCTCCCATAACATAACTGCAACAGAAAGAGACATACAAATAGCCTAAGACTTATTGCATTAGCTTTGGTACTATTGTGTGCACACCTAAACTAGTAAGAACAGAGTTTTTACACAGAAAAATTAGGTTAGAACTGAGAAAAACTACAGAGTAACACAGGCTTATGGCATCATTTATGTTCATGTATGTCCATATCCCACAATAACTTTTGAAATACTTGGCAATTTTTTGTGAATTTTATAAAACAAATTTTATTTTGATCCATACAAACAATTATGAAGTATGGAATAATTTTGGGGGGTAATTCATCAAACAGCCAAAAAATATTCACTTTACAAAAGAAAGTTGTTAGATTAATGGCTGGTGTAAAACCTTGAAATTCATGTAGAAGTCTATTTAAGAGATTAGAGACCTTAGCTCTTCCTTGTGAATACATTAATGAACTTTATTGTAAATAACCAAGAACTTTTTCAAACTAATTCTGCTGTACAGTGACAACACAAGGAATAAAAATCAGCTTCATAGACCAGTTGCCAACCTCTCGTGTTTTCAGAAGAGTTCATATTGTGCAGGGATCAAAATTTTCAACAGTCTAACATGAAGTCTCATAAGTCTTGTAAATACAAAGGCACAATTTAATGCAGCATTAAAAAGATACTTCATTACACACTGTTTTTACTCGATGAATTTCTATTGTTTACAAATAAGTGATCATTTATCTTCTGTATGTATTGGGTAGATTTCTTTGTAACTTATCAATACTTTAGGTGAACCCTTTGTTTGTATTATGTGAAATTTATATAACAGTATGAATTGTACTTTATAATATGTATTGTATTACTATTATGACTTTTTCCATATCATATTGTCATCTGACTATATTATGGATCCATGGAATGTAATAAAGATGTATGTATGTATGATTTGTGCATGAAATTATACCTTTTTTCGAGAATAGGTATAGTTTGTCTTCGTTAAACTTCACTGTTTATACACCACACTGCTGGTGGCATAGTGAACCTGTCAGCTCCACAAATGAGCACTTTCAGCACAAATCACAGTGACAATAACACATTATATTATGCATGACTGCCAGACCAGCAAAGTGGAACCCAGAAACTTGCATTTCATTTTCAACCACAGCACATATCTGGAATGCAATGTAGCAGATAATGCAGAAACACAGACATGACTTTGAGTAACATGCTGAGCCCACATTGCAATGTGCAAGAAACATACCATACTTATAAATAAAAAGGTCCAAGCCCAAAGCCAAAGTTAAACTGAAGTTTTCTAAGAGTGTGTATAAACATAGCAGAAAATAGGTGTGACCTGCACTTACTCTGCAGTCCTCTTTGATGTGCTTGATAAACACAGCCTGCACCTTTTCTAAATACTGCAGGAGCTCACCAGAGTGTACATCAATGAGGTCTTGCAGACTGAATGAGTCAACATTTTCCACAAAATGCTGCCGTTCTTGAAGTTGCCATAGGAGACGACTCTCAATGGCACTCTTACATGACACAAAATATTTCTTCATTATGAGTATATCTTCTCTTATTTTCTGAAATAGTAAAGCACAGAAACATTAAGTGCTCATTTCTTTCTCTGCTATTCAATATTCATAAATACACTTTAGTGATTCATTCATTCTTAATTTATTTAATGGTGCATTTTCAACAGAAAAGGTTAAATACTGTTGAACAAAATGGAAAGAATGATAGTCATCATTGAGAAGAAAAGCATTTGGAAGCAGGCACCTGTTATTCAGTACCACTTTGCCAGACTGGGGAAAGCAATAAACACTTGAATCAGAACAGCTATTAACCTGGCTGAGATCCACTCAGATAACAATCAATAACAAGTCTAGAGTGTCACTGGTACACCAACCTGCACCAAAAATTGTGAATGAATATGCCAGGTAACTGTTACCAAGAAAAATCATATATTCAGATAAATTTAAGCTATAGAAGAAACACAGCACTGGATACCATTCTCTTCTTCCTAAGACTTCTCTGGTTTATGCAGATATCATATGCACAAAAAATTGGTATTTCATTAATTTGTATATGGAATAAGTCAATGCACAAATAAACACAATAAGTAAGTATAACAGAAAAAGCACAAACAAGAAATTCCATATAAATATTCCAAAGATGAATCCATATACATTTCACATTCCTAGTGTCTATCATCTTACTGAAGCCAAATACAGATTTCATGTAGTTATTTATAAGTTAAGGACGCAACCTTAACAGCTGAAACAAATATTTTGAAGATTTAGTAAGTGGTGCTACTCTCACTCCATGAGGTAGTGTGTCCGCCATATTTTTATTTTCAACAGTAGGAAATTAAAACATATGAGGTTGCAGTGGCTTCCAAAGGCATAATATTCGCACCAGTTTTCATGGATACTGGTCAGTTGGTTCAAAAGTAGTTAAAGGGTACATACACCAACAGAGAATGATAATCTCACAAGCCTATTTTTGTTATTTAATAAAGAAAAGTAGATTAAAAAGTGATTTGCTTTCGAGTCAAAACAGTCAAATATTTGACCCACATAACAAGACATATGGAAGGAGCAAAATATTTATTCAGTAAATGAATAAATAGATAATCATAAATAAAAATTATTAATCACCTTAATGCAACTGATCCCATAATTTGCTCTTCTGTACAATCCAAAAGAATACAGATACCTGAAAGATAACCATGAAGTTGGAATGGCTTTCATACCTTAACTACACTAAGTTCCTCTACAAAGCCAAACAGTCTGGGGTTAAGTTGCTGCAGATTCAACACAGGTCGCTTCTCCATGAGCCGAAGCAGCTGTTTTGATGCTCGACACACTCTCCGTTCATCAAAATCCCAATTATGCACAACTCTTGAAGGGATAACAGCTGTTGAGTTCCAATGGCAGGTGGGGCAATAGTATCGCCCATCATAGTCACACAGACGTGGTTCTATCCAGCTGTTCTCTGTTAAATGTAAAATGTATGGGTCAGTGTCATTTAACAATCTGTTATGTTACAACTGTTCTGTTGAAAAAGTCTAAGAAAATGTCTTTCTCCCCCTATTTTACTTACTGCTGAATACTATTCTGGCACAGATTTTCTTTAAGTTAAAACATATAGCCAAAATCATCCACCAGTTTCTCTAGTCACATTAATTTCTTCTGCCATCTTCAAAAATCAAATTATATTTTCTCACCACTGCATTCACTCTTTTTACATTGCCATTAGTCCTTGGATGGCTGTATTGTTCACTGACTGTAACACCTCCCCTTTAAGTCTTAAAATTTCTTAACCCTTACAAAACCCACATTTTACTTATTGTTTCCTCTCCATAAACTTGCTATAATTTGTACTGTAAATGTTAATACATATTTCTCAAATTTAAATAAAAACTTAATGTTATGCTATAGCAATTTTATCAAACATACTTTTGGTACATAAACAAGACACTGTACCAATGTTTTTAGTCCCATTAACAGGTTAAACAAGAACAGAAAAACTGAAGGAAACACAGACAAGTCCACTGTAAAGAAAGAGCAATGACTGGCTTCCCAGGAAGAACAGGGTTGAGAAAATTATAGAAAGAGAAGCTTCAAAAGAAGTAGCAAATATTATTACAAAAATCAAATCAATAAAAATGATTAGATGGTTAGAACATGTAACAAATATGGGGGAGATGAGAAATGCATACTAAATTTTAGTTGAGAAAGGCTTAAAGGAAGAGATAACTTAGAAGATTTTGCCATAGATGGGACAAAAATATATAAATTAATTTTGTGTATGTTGGTGTGGGTTTCAAGTGACTCAGGATAGGGTTCAGGGTGAAATCTTGAGAACACAGTGATGAACTTTCAGGTTCTATAAAATGCAAGGAATTCCTTGACATTTCAGTGACTTCCAACTTCTCAAGAACATTGCTCCCCAGAATTAGAGTTAGGAAGGTGTATTTGGACATTTTAAGTCATTTGGTTAACCTTACTGAATTGTCTTAATGTAATGAAAACGTCATGGGAGCTGGAACATTTGAAGTTTTAAAACATCTGACATATTACCTGCACAATACAAAACACAATTCAACTAAATTTATAAGATGGTTGTCTTTTGTGACGTTGCACCATGCAGTCTGGCATAAATTGACTAATGTTTCAGAAGTATTTACAGCCTCCATCATCAAAGTGACTGCCAGACTATATGTTGAAACATCCAGAAGTCAGTCATCCTCATACTCATTACTGTGAGAACCTGTAATCTCACCAACTAAATCTACTCCCTAATGCAAAGCTTCCATATCCAAAAAGAAGCAAACTGCATTTAAATAATGTCCATTATTTTGCTATACCTGATGTAAATGGCCGTCCAAAACATGACAATCCTTTTGGGAAAGCTATGGAAAAAGATGTAATTTTTACATTAAATTACAGAACAGATATATCAGTAGTTTAAAACAAACAAGTGGTAAATGAAGCAAGAATGAAGTATAACTCATTCCTGTTCAGAAAGAGACAGGTTTGACAATACTTACTGAATGTGATATGTGCTTTGCACTCTGCACAACGGTATGCCTGGGCAGATAAACCTAGCTCTGGGCAAATGTCAATAATATATGTCGGATTTTCAGAAGCTTTCACGTGAGCACACAGCCGACACACCTGTGCAAGGCACTTCACATGGCAGCTATACTTACAGTCTGAAATGCCATAAGAATGCAAGAGTTCAGTTGGGAAGGAAATAAGCAGAAGAGATCAGCATGTACAGAAATCATCACCTATTCTACAGTCCCTAGGATACTTTTTGCATCTTATTTGCATCGCCAAAAGTAACTTTTGAATTGGCTGATGCTTATGGAACATGCCAATATCATTTGCACCAAAAGAAGTCTAGCACGTAAAACCTAAAGGAACCATATTTATAAATTAAAAATCAAGTAGTCTTCGCAAAAAATTTCCACTGACAGACTTCCAATAGGTGAAAGTAACCAAATGTATACTCAAATGCAGTTCAGATCATTATAACATTGCTATTTTTCTACATAAAAAATTTGAAGACAAGTTTATAACAACACTGCTATTTTTATACATAAAAAAGTTGTACATATGTTTATAATCTGTTGCCACAATAAATTTCATGTGTAATTAGTAATGATATAGCTATTACAATGCAGGACACCCTCATATAAATAAATCTCAAGTGCACTGCCACATAAAATCAACAGTTCTAATAAAAAAATATGTTCTGGCTGACTTTATTTTAAATTATTATGGCAAATATGCAAATTTTTAAACACACATTATTATGTAGATTTCAGGGCTTTATTCTGAATGATCCTAGCTTTGTTACCACCTGAGAATCTGAGCCAGTGCTTTATAAGTATAATTTATGACAGGAAGTTAACAACTGCAGTGGTGAAGCAGTTTCAAATGGTCAAAGTCTGCATGGAGTAACTCATGAAAACAATAAAAAACTGTAAGAGCTGGTCCCTGGGCAGCATTCACACAGAGTACTTCCTACTTGCTAGATGGATTCTTATAATTGTGCATCCTGCTTCACATTAAAGTGGCACAAAAGTAACACAATGATAAAAACAGCTATACCTGTATCCAAACACCATGCCATGGAGGCATAAGGGAACACAAATGTGAATTTCAACAAATTCTTTTTTAACCTTGGTGCTAGATCTGGGATCCTTAACTCATGGCCCACTGATGCATTTTGTGCTACATTTGTAAATTTATCTCTTGTATGATAAAATATATTTACTTCATACCTGAAAACATGCTTTCTTACTATCATCAGTACTTGACAGTACCTGCTTCCCCGAGTAACTGTTAGGCTTAATGAAAAATGTCAAATCGAGAACCAGGACATGTCTTACTGATACACATTTGGAGGGATGCATGCAAATTTCAGACAAAAACTAAATATGATATTTAAAGTTTAATCAGTATCAAATGTCAGATTAATGACTGTAAATGGCATGAAAATTCAATAAATCATCTTCATTAATAACCTGGAACCTGTGGATAGGTAAGGAAAGGTAAATGTAGCTCCATGTCTTGAAAAATTGAGAACCTCTGTGACAGATGGAAGAGAGGTCAGTTTCATGTTCATCATCTTCCCAGGGACCTCTTGGGCAGAGAGGAACTACCCTAACATTTCAGCAGCATAGAACACTAGTCATATGTTGTACAATCTTACCCACACACTGGTACCATGAATGCACCACACTCCATATCACACCACAGCAACGATCACAATGATACTTGGTTGTTGGTGCAGGCTGTGATTGTATTATGAAGTGATGTCCAAGTACCACTCTCACTTCATTGTAGTTTGGTGAAGGGCAATCCTTTTCCTGTTCTTTCACTTCCTGCAGCCTTAGCCTTAGTTCAATGAGCCGTCGAACCAGCCACTTGCGTTCCTCAGAGCACTCTGGGCTCTCTAGGACCATTTCTTTACATTGCTCAACAGCTCTTGATAAATCAACTATCGAAGAAAGTGCTATGGTTTCCTGTGAAGAAAATGTGAAGTTTAATTAGTTTATGAAGTAAAGTATTCTGGAAAAAACTTATGTCTGCTTTCCTTTATATAGGTCCACAAATAAAATGAGTATTGGTGATTTATCCCTGTATATAAAGTCTACTAGTACACAGCTCTGCTGTCTGAATGTTATAATATGTGACCTTAAAGTAGAATAAATTCAAATACATCAGAATAATCAGAGAGATATCATCAAAATAATGCATGATGAGAGAATACCAAAAATCAGCACTTAAATACCAACCAGGGGGAAAACAAAACAGAGTTCAGCCCAAAAAAAGATGGAAAGACCAGTTCTTGAAAGAGCACTGAAGAATCACAGGCTTAATAAGCCTAATTAATACCAGTTTAAGAAGAAGACAATGTCTGATACTGTTGCCATGTTCACAGTTTTTACATACAAATTATAATGCCTAGTAATTTTCATGATTTATCTCAACACTAAATGCTACTTACCACATGTAATGGTTCAGTAGTTCTATAAAATTAGAAACAATTTATTGTTATCCCATAAATCCTTCATAGCACAAGCCAAGGTTGTGGAACATGTCATAATATGAGTATGAACACTTAGTACAACAAAATTCAAAAACAAAATTATAACTACATACTTATTATAGCTTTTTCAATAAATATTTACAATATTTAATAATTTTTAATTGAAGTAGATTCTTCTCTTGAGTAGAAGGGCTGAGATAAAACATAATCTTTCTGTGCTGGCCTAAATAATCATGATTTAAACTTTTAATGCCATCTGCAAGATTTTGATCCCTGCATAGTAAGGATCATATGTGGTCATTAAGTCTTTGTTAGTAGTTGCAGCAGGGCCATGTTGGTACTACTGACAATAGGATATCTAACAGTATGAAGATGAGGTAACCAAATTTGACCTCCTGTATTTAAACAAATAATATATTTATTTCACAAGCTTGGGCACAAACTTCTTGCTATAGAAGCAGCAACAACTTAAAAATCATCACTGCAACTATAAATTAAACAAGTTAGAAAATGTGTGCATAGCATCAGTAATTCACAACTTCTGCCAAAATCTGTCCTAAGTGGATGGTCCCAGTGACATCACAGTTGTCCAGGTGGCTCTGAAATCCAAGATAACCATAGTAATCGTATCACCTATGGGAACTAAGGTAGCATGGGGATTTACAACCCAGCCAGTTTAACCCTCAGAAATGCATGTATGATGTCTTTATGTAAAGTACAAATTACTGTCATTTGATTTTAACCAAAACTGTGTTGACAAATTTAGTTCAACTCCATATTATCAAATTTAATTTAAATAAGTACAGCTGTTCTCAAGTTGTTAGATGCAATCATGTGATAAACAATAAGAAGTAAAATATGATGAATGGCAAAGACATAATACCTAAGGTACATTAATTACCCTTATTCAGGATCATACCTCCGCAATGGTTAGGTAGTTTTCTGCTGTGACTAGACTAAAAAAAAAATCCAGAAGTTGAAGATGAAGGTGTAGAAGCAAATGTTCGATTTCCTACAACGGATTCATCCAAACTGTTATCGTAAATAGCTTTATTATTATCTCCTTCCATGTTTATAAACACATGTTAAATATGTCCAAGAAAAACCCAATCACCGCGGCCAACACATTTGCAAATCGATGTAACATATCTAAATATTTACTGTGCTGCTATCTATCCATTTGCAACAGATGAAGCAAAGTCTGTGGGTATGAAAATAACGATGACTCAGTCGGTAATAAATTATCGTTTTAATCTGACTGTTGATAGCGCGCGTGCATAAATTTACTAACATATTATCTACTTATGTAATGATGGTTTGATTAAGGAATAAAGAAGTGGAGGGAATGTGGAAGAAAGCAGCTGCTCTCTCAATTAAGACACTGTCCCAGCATTCATTTAATGATTGAGGAAATTTTATTTAAACACATTTTAAACAGCCAAATTAGTTCCATGGGATGTGGAATTCAAGGATAATGTTTTATAGCACTTCTATACTAAATAAATAAACTAATTTCAATACAAAATAATAGTTTCTGTGGTAATTAAAGTACCCAACACAAATGAGTATGTGCAAATGCAAAGTGGAATAATTTTTTCTGGGAGAATTTTTATGAAGAATAATATGCATTATATTTGGGCAAAGATCATATATTTATTTCAATGTCTCACAAAAGCAAACACTAGCTTAATTAAGATTATGAAAACACTATAAGATTGCAACTTTGAAATAGAACATATATAAATAAATCACTCCAACATTTAGAAAATAAACTGATTTACTTTATGTGACAATAAAGTGAATGCAATGATATCCCTGTTTCTAAGCACCACAGCATGAAGGTATGACGTGGTTGTGATTGAAAAACTTAACATAAACCTCTGAATAATACAGATGGCAACTTCAAATTTCAGTCTCTGAGGAAAGAGCACTATGGACCCCAGAGCTACTCAGTATATTCTGTTATAAGACAATTAATACATTTTTATCTTTGACATAAATATTATAATGTTATAAAAAAACACCTAACTTCTTCAGAGAACATGTACACTTTGTTACTTTAAAATATTTTCTGGTACATTTCCACATACTTATGCACAATAGATCTTTACAAATAGTGGTTATTAGAAGTGGCCACATTGAAGAAAAAACTTGAAAGCGTTGCAAATACTGATATGTATACTCAAGGACAACAACCTTTCCATAATTCAATGAAAGAGTTATAATAATTATTCCAAAATCAAGAGCAAGTAGGAATAACAAAATTAGCTGTGTGGACTGTAAAGCAATGATAACACTCTGAACTGGTAACTGTTTGAAGGCAGAGTTTGTTAACAATCTGCTCTTCTTGCAATTTTGATCCATCACTGAACTCATTTATCCTCTCATTTTTATTTTGTAGAACTCCTTCTCTTCTTTGCCATATTCTGAATCCTGGACATTTGCAGTTGCATTCTGGATCTTGGAGATGCTTCATCATCTGAAACAGAACAAGACTGTAAATGTGTATTCTTTGGAATACCAAAGGTGGTCTTGATCCCACATTGTGGTGATAACATCAGCAAGGTAAAAAAGGGAATAAAAAACGCAATAATAATACTTAAGTCAACAATGGTGTCCAAGTTCACTGTTGCAACAATGTAATATGAGGCAACTTTCAAAATGGTATGTAAGGACACTGCTGAAGGATGATCCAAGGTTATCGTAAAATGTCATTCAAGGCCATTGTAACAACAATGTTATCTAACACTACTGCTGTAACAGTGCAATCCAAGGCAACTGTTGTAACAATGTAATGGCAGGGGACAAAGAAGTTATGGGGGAAATTTTCCACTTAATCTGCTTGGTCTCAAATCCAAGCCAGTACAACAAATTCTCTTGACATATTCCAACACCAGACAGGAAAGGAGCAAGCGAGTAAGTAAATGAATATAAAACATTTTATTGAAGTTAAATGTACTCGGAAAAATCATTACAGAGAAGAATCATACAGCATCAGAATATGTCTTGCAGGTAACAAAGAGTATTTTTGAAATGCATTCTTTCAAACTGTCAATTTAGTGATGACCAAATTACTCCAGCTAAAGAGACAGTCACAAAATGAACTGGTCTTAAAATCAGTCCTTTACCTGAAGTAATATGTGTTGATTCTGTCCTCTGTCTATCTTGCAACTGAATCTCATATTCACCTTTATTTGGATAAAACACAGCCACCTGTAAAACACAATAAAGTTCAACTATTAAATTCATCCAACAGCAAAGAAGAAACATCACCAATACAGTATGGCATGGTATATTTACTGGGTATAATTCAACATTTTCAACTATTTCTAATCACATTCCAAAATAAGTAACATTTTTATGATTCTTTTTATAACATATAAATGAATGGCTTGCAATGTTGACAAACCACCATCAAACACAGCTGCATGCAGACATTGAAAACTGATAATAAGTAACTGTTCATTAGAATAATAAGAAGTTCTGGGAACAACTCATGATGTCTACTTTCCTTGAAATGCTTCAATCTATCTGATGAGGCTAGCATAAACTATGTTACCCTCGGTGGACTAGTGGTTAGCGTGTTCGCCACTGGACCCAAGGTTCGCGGGTTCAAACCCAGCCAAGGTCAATGGATTCTTAAGGGTGATAAAAATCCGTAGCACAACTTCCTTCAGAGGGGAAGTAAAGTCGGTGGTCCCATGTCGTAGATTTATGGCATGTAAAATAAACTTACGAGCATGATACAAGATGTTTTGTCAGTAAAATTCAGCGATCATTTCTCACCCAAATCTTTCTGTTTCACTGCTAGATGGCTCTGGCAGTCAAATCAGGATTGAGTATATATTGTACAGAGTTAGTGGGGTCACTCACTACTCTCACCAGACCGGAATACCCGAATGGGTTTTGCTGGACACGTAAATAAATAAAATCATAAACTATAAATTAATAATTACTGAATTTAGTAAACCATTTCTGTGAACAAGTTAGACCAATACAGATTCTGATTAAGTAACATTTGCTAGATATATCTTATTGTATTTTACCAACATGGTGTGTCAGAAATGTTCCACAAAAAATTTGTTAGAATATTTATGACCTATTTCCATACAAAATTGCATATCCTACAATGATTAGTTACACAGTTATTGTCATCAAATACAAAGCTAAACATAAATTTATTTTACTTGGCCACCTCATTATTGTTGTATATTTTACCAACAAAAATTGACAAAAATTCATGAATTTCAAAATCTAGTTTGCATGGATGCCATGCTGGTATTAATCATGGTAGAAAACTAAATAGTACAAAGATGGAATTGTCTCTAATGACTTGATGTTCATACATCTACATCCTTAGGTTTTCATAGTTACAATTTAGTGTATAACTTCAGTATAGGGCAATAAGCTGCACTGAATGCTGAAGGTTTTCCATTTTAACAAACAATGCAGTTGTCATATTTGGGAAGCCCTTATACAGTTCTGACAATGGACATCAAGTGTGAGGTTAAGGTTGTGGAATGGATGAACAGAAGAGTGGGGTGCTATCCAATAGGGAGCAACCATATGGTTGAGGAAAGGTGATAAAAAATTTCAATTAAACAATACAAATGAATGCAGTAATATACCTACAACGAATTCTTCTCGAGCTGGTTTAATGGAGACATTTCAAGAACTTCAGTACCCTGAGGACTAGGATGAAAATGGTGCTTGAAATGTTGCTGTTTTCTCCATTAAACCACCTGACACTGCTGGTAGCCCAAGAAGAATTCATTATACGTTTTCAATGTGACAGCTTCAGATCATAAACAGTAATATACCTCTTCATCATCAGAGGTGCATTCCTCGCCCTCAGCCTCTAGTTCTACGTCTTCAAATTTACCGGCCTGTACAAAAAAAATCTGTCTTAGTATCACAACATTCAAAAGATTTCCTCTAGCTATCACTTGGCAGTACTGGTATCATGATATATCTCTACAGAAAAATATCAGAACAGTGTCTTAACATGAATACTTCTGTTTCAACATTGTTACATCACAGGTAGTATAAAAATACTGAAGTTTAAGAAAAACAAAACAATAATTTTGCCAGTTATTTTATATGGATATCAAACATAATCAGTCTCTTGCTTAAAGGGAAGTGCCTGAAAGGAAAGTGCTCAGTAACAGATTAAGTAAAGGTGAGTAATTTTATGGTATTATATAATAAAAAACTTTGCAGTTTATATATGTCACCTAGCACTGTTATGATAGTACAGTCTAGAAGCCTAAGGTAGGCAGGATATATAGATGCAAAGGTGGAGACAAGTAATTCACACAGTATATTAGCGAGGAAACCTATGGGAAAGTGACCACTGAAAATACTGAGAATGAGATACGAGGATATACAGTATTATAAGTAAACTTTGGCAGATACATTCAAGGATAGGAGGTGGACAGAATTAGATCAGGATTGTGTTCAACAGCAGACTTTGAAATTAATGATGCCAAAATTTTGGACTATAAGTACCCATGGCATATGCAGCCTCTGCCTATTCAATGATATGGAAGCATTTACAGAGCAGAATAATGGCTGGGAGAAGCTACCTACAACTTAATGTTCCTGTTGTGTGTCAATGGGATACAGCATAAGATTCAACATAGAATAGAACGGTATAGCAGGGGATGCAACAACTGCACAGATTAGTGATGTAAAATCCAGGCAAAACAATCGAACTGCAGACTGCAATCTGTGCTGATGTGTAATGCTAGTATTAATAAATAATGCAAGGCAAACTGAGAGAAAATATGAGAGGTCTATTTTGCTGTGAGGCATTTTGTTTTTGGCTACAAAAACCCCAAAAATGGTGTACTCTCAGATTAAATATTTGTAACTGGTCCCAGGGCAGGATCTTTAATAGCCAAAGTGCAGGGATTGGCTGAAAAATTAGAACTAATCAGACACTGATTGTCTATCTATGAGGATGGATTTCTTGATTAATATGAATGCAGTATTTTTCTTATAATAATATAAGTGGTACTTTCATTGGAAATGGATAAGTTAAGAGGTTGAGCTAGAATAAAGATAAGAAACTGGCAGACTAAGAATTGGTGGAATTGTTAATTTGTCGGCCTTAGGGAATCAAGAAGTTAGGCTTCACAGCAGTCCCATTTTCTGTCCTATCCTGTGACCATACAGACTAGCGACGTTAATCATGGCTGATAGCAGCTACCAAAAATGTTAGATTGTGAGTGCAAGGTAGAAATAAAGGGTCAGGCACAGTAAGAGTGGATTCTGCAGATTGCCTATTAGAATGCCAGTTGCCTCACAGGAAGAGAGCAGGAAGGAACACAAAAAATCATTTGGTCAAAGAAATTTGTAAAGTCTATGTAACAGTCTTGAAGGTCTACATCTGTGCAAATAAAGCTCCACACCCACACCTAAATATGAACAGAACCTGATTCCTAACCACAAAGAATAGGAATCAATTTAAATAAATTTATTCTGATCTTCACAATTTTGATGCTGAATAAGTCAAAATTAGACAAACTGGCCAAAAATCAAACTGATAATCTCAGTGGCTCAAAATGAAACAATAGTTGATGATATCATGATGTAACTCACCAACTGTGAATCCACTGTCATATTTAGAAGCTTCACCATGTTTCTTGTCAAGTACTTTATTTCTGTGTTGTCAATGTTGGGATCAATTTTCTGAAATGTTTCATCAAGAATGGGCACTGGTGCTTCAGCATCATTATTCACTCCTGGGTTCACCGTAGACAGAAGGTATTCACCAATTTCACAAGTAGCCCAAATTTTCTGAAACATAATATAAATAAGAGTCAATAAATATATAAAATGTTTAAGTCAAACTATAGAAAAGAACACAGATATGAGTCAAAAAAATACAAAAATATTTCAAACAAACTATAGAAATGAATACCTACTCCCTATCAAGTAATAAGAGATTACAACAAATATATATCTGAACTGAAACCAGTAACCTGTGAGACTTGCCTTATTAAGCTCTTCATCATCCAGAGTAACTGCATTCTTGCAGGACCTCATAAGAGCAAATAATTTAACATAGAAGTCAGTAGCCAGCAATCCAAATTTACCATTCTTGCTGCTCAGTAATGAATTCAACAGGAATGACAGGCATGTATAAGCCCGGTGCGCTGAGGTTTCATCAGTGAAATCAAATACATATCTTGCCACTATCTGTATTGCTGTTTGGACACAAAATTCTGGCACAGCTTGTTGACAGCGTGTCAATAAGTGGGACACATTCCTGAACACTACAATCAGAGGAAGGAACATAAGAAGACAAAGACAATCACTGGATCACTTGATAATATAACATAACAGTGATCAAAATTATAACAAAACCTTCTCCAGTCTTCCCTATCCTCCTATAGGGACTCCAGTATCTAACTAATCTTTTTTGTATATATTCCTTTTCCACCTTGTCCTTGGTTCAAAAGCCATTGTTTATTCCATTTTTCTCTGTTAACAGTCTCAAACAAATCTTATTTTTATCAGTACAACTCCTAAACAAAATTTATACCAAATTAATAGATAGTGAAGCCTTATAAACCCTTCAAAATTATCTAATTTAACAACCAAGAACTCTGCATTTGCATGGATTATATTTATGAAATGCAATTAAATAAATAGAAAATACTATCATTTAAGCTGGACATCATGACAGGGTTTTGAAAAAAGAAACCATGCCAAGGACATCTCTGGTAAGTGCTACAAGATAGGCACTAATTACACTGTAATGTAACTGCTAGATACTAACATCTTGTGACACACACAAGACTCCACACTTGTTGCCGTTTGTCCTGAACACATAGGTTCAGTGCGTCTAACACACACGACTTGACATCCTCAGCCTCCTCAGTACCAGCCAGTACAAAGTAAGATATGAACATGCTGGGCAGACCATATCTTTGCTGTTCCCACTGCATCAGTCTCTCACGCAGCTTCTCCACAAACAGACGTCGAACAGACTCTGATTCATCCTACAAAAGCACATTTACTACCAGTATGTTAATTTATATTGAGTTTAAACAAGTTTATAACATGACACAAACAACTTTCACATGACCCATCTTCCTCACACCTTCCACTAGTTTGCAGACTAATGTACTGGTGAGCAAGGAATGAAAGATTTCCTTTATTAACCACAGAAGGTAGAAAAACTACAAGAATATAAGTTTCTGTGAAGCACTTGATCATAATTCCCTTTAAATATTTATAGTGAGGCTAGGCTCAAATTATAAGTGGATCCCTATATCTGTCCCTGCTGGAAATCAAATCTGATTGACTGAGACATCTCCACTACATTAAAATATTGTAAACACTGCTCTGTATATTAAACTTTCTAAACGGGGAGTAATGACAGAACTCATAAACTTCTGACCTAGCCAAGGCATAACCAACAGCTGTAGAGCTGTAACTTTTAAAATCTATCAACACCACTTTCACAAGGTGCATTTCAAATTTCTGCACAAATTCCTTGTTTCCCAGCGTATAACAACCTTAACACCAGCAAAACAGAGATAAATTCTGGACTGCATCACGCTCCTTGCACCACCCTGCCAACTTACATTCATAAGTAGTGCCATCCTGAAGAAATATGTCTTCTGAACTTGCTTTGCATATATACATGGAATATCACATATCTTGAGGAAGGCACATCCTGCTGTCAGCCGGAGCCATGCCTTTGTAGCAGTGCTACAATTGAAAGAACAACACAAAATATGCATTCTGCAAGAGAACTGCTCCCAGGATATGTAACAAAAAGTCCTGAAAACAACTTACGACACCTATATCACATAAAACACTTCAATCTATATAGCAAGGCTAGCAGGAGCTATAAATCAGTATTCATGCAATTTACTGATACATGTCTGTGCATAATTTACACTAACAGATACTGACTACATTAAATTTAATAAATATAAACTTAAACTTTTGCACCACCATGTTTGTAATTGTTAATACGTCAAAAATATTTCACATCAAATTTATAAGTATTATTATGACATGTCTGCATACAAAATGTCATATCCAGCTCCAAGGTCTATTAGTGATTCCCACCAAATCAAAAGATAAATACAGATTTTGCATCGCCAGTATATTTCTTACATATTACAAAATTTATCTCAACACACATTGTGAATTTTTGAAGATCTATTACCACACAAAAATTTCAGGCCCTACATTGTGTGGGTTGACTATTGCCCTCATCTCAAGTTCATAGACCAATTGCCAACCTCTCATGTTTTTAGAAGAGTGCATATTATGCAGGGATCAAAATTTTCAACAGTCTACCATCAAATCTCACAAGTCTTGTAAATAAAAAGGCACAATTTAAACCAGCATTGAAAAGATACTTTATTACACACTCCTTTTACTCTGTCGATGAATTTCAAATGTTTACAAGTAAGTCGTAATTTATCTATTGTATCCTTTGTTTGTATTTTTGTGACATTTATATGACTTGTATTTGTATAACATGTATTGTATTATTATGACTTATTCTATATCCTATTGTCATCTGACTAACTTATGGATCCATGGAATGTAATAAAGATGTATGTATGATGTATGTACACATTTACCAGTATTACTGACACCACTTGTAGTGGCATAATGTTCATACCAAGTTTCATGAAAACCCATTAACTGAATCAGAAGCTATTAAGTATACAGACACAAAAACAGATGGTCCAAAGGCCAATATGACAGTAAGCTTACCCTCTAATTATATAAACCAAAATTAATACAGACATACAAAAAACAATCTGATAAATAAATAAAAAGGTGAGTGAGGATTACAAATATAAGCACATCAGTAAATAGGCTAATGTTAGTAACGTCCCAATATACCAAACATAAAACCATCACAACTGAAACAACTGTAGGAGGGAAAAGGTCAACTTTAAGGTCATACATACTCCAAATGCATTGATTTAATAAATAAATCTCACCCATATGTCACCCTACTGAAGACAAATTATTTTATCTTGTATAGCAAGAGTGTGACAATGACCACTAACATACACCTAGTGCTGAGGTTAAGAATGTGTGGGTAGTGCTATACTGCCAATTTCCCATTTATCTTCATGGCATAATGTTTAATTAAGCAAATGGACAACTTTACCTATACTTTACATCATTAAATATAAATAAAAGTGTTTCATATAATGTTGTAGATATCAATCATATTTGTAGTTCACTGAATATCATTGTCAAATATTCTTCCTTTTTCATATATATATATATATATATAGACAGGCTATCATGACTTAGATATTTCATGTACCTCCAGTCAAATACCGGAATAATAACTTAAATAGACCATGACTACTTCCTTCCACAACCATTCCAAGTCATTGTTCACTAATCATCCTATCATTAGACACCAAACAATCTGAGTAAGTGAAAATATTAAATGAACACGAATAAATCAAAAAAAGATTTATCATTGTTTTATTACCTGAGGTTGTTTGTGCTGGCATAAGCACCACCATTTTCAACAATCTTGCTAAGAATGGTTAGTGTCCTCTCTGTGTATGGTGTCTCACGCAATCTGATGGTCAGTCGAGTCAGTGCTTTGAGGGCCTCAACCTACAATAAAAGCCATACATTAAAAAAAAGCATTTGGATATTACATTGCTCTGCATGATGCATGTAAGAAGAACACATCATGAGAAGGAGTATGTGTACAGTTCACAAATCAGGAGAAAATCCCTGCTAGGAATTCGATATATGCGCAAGCGCAAGATTTCGCGGTGAGTGACAACCGATCCTAAAAGCATTCGTTCCACAACCACTGAACAAACAAGAGACGACAGGCTTTCATGTGTTCAAATGGGTACAGCTTTAAGTTTACCTCACAGTGGCACAGTGATTTAATCTAGAATATTATTGCAACACCCACAGAACACATTACAAGTGCGCTCACTACACACTACTCTTAACTGCTTGATGTTTTCAGTCTGTGTGCAGTAGAGTAAAACTCTTATGTATCACACTTCCCACCAATATCAGCCCTCTAGTCCAGCTGATAAGTAAAATTCCCCCCGCACCGCACCAGAAATGACTTCCCCCAGCAGGGTTTTTCTCGTCATCTGTGGACAGTATGTGTGTGTGAGTGTCTGTCTGTCTGTCTGTCTGTCTGCCCATCTAACTGAATAATATATCACTGGAACTACTGATTGGCAAGTTTCAGTTTATATCTATTTTCTACTAACCTTACATTTTGTTTCATATGGAAGGCAATCCTTTTCATACCACTCAGCTTCATCAGCACTTTCATCTTCTGAATCTTGAATTATTAATGTCTCTACTAGCTACAAAGTAAGAGAGTATTAAAGGCACTTGGTATCATTTCAACAAACACCTTTTCAAATTTTCAATATAGAACTGTTTTATATATATGCTGTTTTTGAAATTAAAATAAAAAGATGTTTCCTGTTAATAAATACCCTTACCTCATGACACATCTCTGTGACATAAGTAATGCATCTTGTATCAGTGTAGTTGGGCAGGTATCTGGCAAAGTGGCTCACAGCAACTTCTCTAGTCAAATAATGTTTACTGTGTATGTCCAGTAGTCCCGTAAATTCCTGCAACAATGTCAGCAATAATTGAAGTTCTAAAGTAAGAGAGTGCAGCTAAGTTACCTGATGTTATCGAAAGTTCTCATTCTTTATGTGGGTGTTTCTTAGAACAAATAATACTAAGATAATGAAATTGCTTATTTATTATGACAGTATTATAAATATATATCCCCACTAACAGCTGCCAAACAACACAACAATAGTGGATACAGATAAAATCTGCACTATGAAAACCGCATATGATTAACTAGCAACCAGTTCACAGACACAGAGAAATGGAGAACACTGTATAAAAGTATTTTACCTGAGATTATTAAAAATTGTTAGTTAACAGATGAAGGTACATTTTCCAAACTAACATTCTGATGATAGTTGATATTCCAATAGCAAGGACATTTTGACAAAAATTGAGAGAACAGTGGAGATTACTACTGATTGTCTAACACTTTGTGATAACAATTCATCATGGCATAATGTTGGACTGTGTCCATTGTGTATTGTATGTTTGCTACACATATACATCCAGCAATGGTTTGTGTTACACTATCAGCTTATTATAACAACAATATGGATTCAGTATAAAATCCTTCACATGTAATCATATAAGTTTGCCATTAATATTTTCCAAGACAATAAATGTTAAGAAAGGCTTTATATATATAAACACTTTTGCCAGCTGTTTCATATCAGTGTGAAATATGGTTTCTATCTTTGAAGGAAAAACATAAATTACAAGCATTTCAGGTAAATGTGTGAAACTAAAAGGGCTGAAGTAAGTGAGCAACTTAGCATGTTACATGGGGAACTCTGTAATTAATACAAGCTACCTAATATTGTGAGGATACTGAAATCTAGGAGGCTACAATGGCTGGAAATATAGCTAGGATGAAGAAGACAAGAAATTCACAGAACTTTGGCAGGGAAACCTCTTGAAAGACCAAGATAAATAATCAGTTATTTGCTGCTACATACCGCCAAGATGTGGGTGATGACTGGCTCCACAGTATGGCTACACAGGCAACGGATGGCTAACTTGGCTTGTGCTGGAGTGCCAAATGTGGCAAATGCATGCCACACTGGGACAAGGTGATCAGACACAATCGCAGGGTATACCTCACCTAAAACACAAGTTATCATCCACATATTTAGTATACTCTGTGCAGAAAGCAAATGCATTATTAGGAGTTCATGTCTGTCCATCCACATGTTTCATATCCTGAATCACAAACAGATTTGAACATAATATGTTTTGTGAATTCAACATTAAGTTGTCAGGCAAGCATCCACTATAATCCCAACAGTATAGAACTATGCCTTTTCTGGCTGGATTTTATTATAAGGATATTATTTAGAAATCTTAGCTCTTCCATGTGAATACATATTCTCATTAATAAACTTTATTGTAAATAACCAAGAACATTTTCAAACTAATTCTGCTAGACACAGTGTCAACACAAGGAATAAAAATCAGCTTCATAGATCAATTGCCAACCTCTCATGTTTTCAGAAGAGTGCACATTATGCAGGGATCAAAATTTTCAACAGTCTACCATCAAATCTCACAAGTCTTGTAAATAAAAAGGCACAATTTAAACTAGCATTAAAAATATACTTAATTACACATGCCTTTTACTCTGTCGATGAATTTCTAATGGAAAAG